TTTTGTTTGTTTACAAACTGCTCGACAACGAATGTTTTCTCATCGGAGCGGAGAAACCAAATTCGGCAGTTCACCACTTTCGGCCAAGCGAAGCAACTCTCTAGCTCTGTTGAGTCTATTTTCTTTCCGTTGCGGTGTAAGTTCTTGCACATTTTGAAATTTCAATGGCTTTACCACGAGCTCATTTTTCAATATTTGTCGAATGGAATATTGCGATATGTTCAGCTCTCGAGTCATTTTCGGCCACTGCGACACGGGTTTCGATCAAGTCGCTTCTTTACTTTTCGAACCATTTGTGCTGATGTTGTTGTTTTCATCCGTCCACTTCCTTGACGTCGGGCTACGCTACCATTATCACGATAACAAGCAATGGTACGAGACACAAAAGATTTATTCACATTTAAATGCTGGAGTGCTCTAACGTTAGCACCAGCGGTTCTCCAGCCAAATATAATGAAATCACACTATCACGCTGGAACTCCATCACGAATAACTTTTTTTCTGGAAAATTCGCACCAAAATGCTATTGTACGCTTGTAAACAAACTAATGACCTGTTACTGGAAAAACAGCTGTCGGACGAGTGGCTTAGAAATGACAGCAGTCTGAAGTTGGTTGCAGTTTTTTCATGTCACCCTGTAGATCCTTAACAGATTTTTTAAATAATCAGTACATCAGTACACCAGTTCCTAAGCGTATGAGTGATTTTATTACCTTCAAATATTTCATATCACTCATACGCAGACCGAAATGCACTAGCGCAACCTTATAGAGGACCCTTATCTATCCTTTTAATGGAAGATTTTTAATAGGTCCCCTAAAAAAGTTACCATTATCTACCCTCTATTTTAAATTAGGTTCAAAACCATCTTATATCAAACCAAAAAGTACCTAATTGTTGATGTTTTGAAGAACCTCCAAAGTTGAAAGAGAACAAAACCAAACAAAAACATGTCACTGATTATTTCGCTTTGGGTGTTTTTTTTTTTTGCCATAGCCTGACTTAGTGAGTGTCATGCAACGTTTGGAGGATGTTTCCTATTCATCACAGATGTTTGACAACGCAGCACAACAACCTGCCCCCACTTGCGCTTTTTCTACTTTTTCTTCTTCTTCCTCTGGTAGCTACCTTTATTTGAACTTGGCTTCCCGGTACTCTGTTGTCTGTTGCCTAACGAACTTCTAGTGATGCTGATTCTGCTGTTACCGGAAGGTTTATTCCTTTATTCGCGTTTTAAACGGAATAAAAAAGTGAAATCTGGAGGAGAAGTGCGGAAAAAATTGTACAGAGAACACACTTTACCAAATTCCCCGAAAGATATGGCGAAATCGGTGGGTGGGTGTATGGATGGGTTGGTTGGTTCGTTGGCGGTTTCTGTGTGCGACTTAAATCCAATGTTAGTTCCAGCACAATAGGATTAGCATACATTTGGCTGAATATACTGGAATCATTTGCATGGCTTCACAGCACAGCAGAGCACATCATAGCCTCCCAGCAGTCGGGGCGGCGGCAGCAGCAGTCAAACAGCTTCCCTTTCTAGTTATGAGTTTGCATATATTTGTCCATTTGCATGTATTTCTATGTCTCCCCTTTGTCCTGCGTGTGGGTGTGTGTGTGTGTCTGCAATTTTTATGCTCGAGTTAACATTGAATAGAGTTCTCCGTGTAGGAGGAGGGAAGGACACTTGTAAGGAAGCTTTGATTCCGGTGTGCGTTCTGTTTTTTTTTTTCACTTTCTCTACTTTTTTTGTATCCTTTATTTACACCTGTGAACGTTTTTATCTACGCCCGTGCACAATGCCTTCAATATGTTTCTATAATACGTTTTCATGATTTATATTCATTCGCTTTTTGATGTGGTACTGAGTAACCCGTACTTCTTCTTTTTTAGGTTTTATCTGCAAACGGGTTCTTTTTTTTTTGGAAATCAAGGCAAACCGACATTTCGAAAAAAGGGAAAAACGTATTAATTTTCCTTTTTTTGCATTATTTATTAAAGGAGTTGAACAATTCTGAAGCCAGAAGGTATTTGTTAGTGTGTAGCCTTAAGTAATTATCAGAGTAATATTAATAACAATATATGATTTATTTATTGAAGTATCGGAAGTTACCATTTGCAAAATGGAAAATTTCGAATTAATGTTTGCGTATCTATGACGATTTATAGGCAAGGTTCCAAGAGGTGTAGCTTGAGAGATCCCAGCTTATGTGCTATGAAATGTGCTGTTGTATTGAGATGTGGAAATTTCAAGAAAATCTGGTACTAATTTTATATTTTATGGGAGATATTATCATTTAAAATGATTACATTTTAAATGGGAAGTACGAAAAGAAGTGGATCTTCAGGGTGAGACGAAAGGAATGCAACCAAATTCAGACTGCTGTCATTTCCAAGCCACTCGTCAGACAGCTGTTAAAATTATTCCAGTGACAACTCATTTTATTGTTTACAAGCGTACAAAAGCATTTTGGTGAGAATTATCCAGAAAAAAAATTATTCGTGACGGAATTCAGGCGTGATAGTGTGATTCCTCTATATTTGGCTGGAAAACCACAAGTGGCTATCGTTAGAGCACTCCAGCATTTAAATGTGAATAAATTTTTAGTATTTCGTACCATCGCTCGTTACTGTGATATTGGTAAAAGTGAAGAAGCGACTTGATCGAAATCCGCGTCGCAGTGGCCGAAAAATGGCTCGTGAGCTGAACATATCGCAATATTCCATTCGCACTTTTTGGCATTTCAATGGCTTTACCCCAAACTCATTTTTCAAATTTTGGGGTAAAGCCATTGAAATTTCAAAAAGTGCAAGAACTTACACCGCAACAGGAAGAAAATAGACTCAGAAGAGCTAATGTGTTGCTTCGCTTGGCCGAAAGTGGTGAACTGCCGAATTTGGTTTTCTCCGATGAGAAAACATTCGTTGTCCACCCGTTTGTAAATAAACAAAATGATCGTGTTTACTTGCCAAATAGGTCAGATGAAAATGTGCACCTTCGGTTGGCCACCAGAACTCAAGCGCCGTCCACGGTGATGCTGTGGGCCACCCTAACAGCGGATGGTAGCTTTCCGCTCGTATTAATCGACTGGGCATCAGAATTAATGCCGAATAATATCGCGAAAATATTCTGGAGGGTGTATTAAAGCCATGGGCACGCAAAATTTTTTGACCGCAGACCTTGGACATTCCAACAGGACTCAGCACCATCGCAATAAGCATGCACCACCTAAGAATGGTTACAAAATCAGATTCCTCGTTTCATTTCCAGCGCACAACGGCCACCAAAATCTCCGTATACCAATCCGTTGGATTATTGTGTCTGGAGTATTTTAGAAAGCAAAGTTGGCACTAAAGAATTATGTCGATCGCTTCAAGCAAGCGCTTCGCCGGGAATGTGCCAAAATACCGCAGAGCAACATTCGGGCAGCGTGAGACGGTTTCATTGGCCGTTTGAAGGCCATAAATCGTGCCAAAGGTGACCAATTCGAGCAAATCTAAACTTATTCTCAAATTTGATGCTATTTCCGACATTTTTTGCTTTCATTCAATAAATTAAAAAAAAAAACAAATAAAAAACATTAATTTCCGCCGGGCCGAACTTTTACTACCCTCCACCATAGGGTAAATAAAACATACGAACCAGTTATGACCCACAAATACCTATTTTTATTAGACATATTCGTGGGAAAATGTCGCAAAAATCATCAAAATACCGAATATCTGGAGGTACTGTTATATGGGGATATACAAAAACGTGGACCTATACATGCAATGTTTCGCCACACGAACTAGGACCCATTATGACCCACAAATACCAATTCTCTGACAAATCCGTGAAAAATGTGGCAAAAATCATCAAAATACCGAATATGTGGAGGTACCGTTATATGGGGGCTATATCAAAGCGTGGACCTATACATATAATGCTTCGCCACACGAACTAGGATCTATTATGACCAACAAATACAAACTTTCAGATAAATCCGTGAAAAAGTGTGGCAAAAAACGTCAAAATACCGAACATCGGGAGGTACCGTTATATGGGGACTATACCAAAACGTGGACCGATATATCTCATTTTCAATACCAACCAACCATAGACACAATTCAAATTAGTCTGCTAAATTTTGACGCTCTACGTCAAATAATGTGGCCTGTATCGTGATTTCAACAGACAGACAAGCGGATCGATCGACGAACATCGTTAAATCGACTAAGAATTTTATGCTGATTATGAATATATATATACTTTATGGGGTCTACGACGAATATTTAGGTATATTACAAACGGAATGAAAAAGTTAATATACCCTCCTTTCCAAGGTGGAGGGTTTAAAAATGTAAAAATTGGGGCGTTTGACTTGCTGTTGCGGTTTTTTTTTTTTTTTTTTTATCTCACCCTCTATATTCCCGAATACATATTTCTCTGTTATAAATCACACAGTTTTAGATCGATGTGTTATAAATTTGTTACACATTCCATTTAAACTACCTGGATGAGTATAACTTATGTGGCCATAATCGATTCATATATAAAAATAGTTCCCATAACTTACCTATCTGCTAGATCCCTGTGGATGTTAAGAAGTATAAGTTGCAAAGTATAAGTCGGTTTTGCAGACAGCCTATGCCAATTTATTAAAATATATCTTGACATACGATACAATTGTCCAACCTGGTGACTCTCTTGGGGAAAGTACCAAAGAAGTGGACCAGTGTTGTCTACTTTGCATCCGACAGAACTCTGATATGAATATTATGATGTGTCAGGTTTGGACTCTCAATAAATATTACTCTCTGTAGTGTGGCTATCTTATAGTCGCCCATATTCAAGTTGTGTATTTTTGTTGCAGATTTTGAAATTCATTCTTCAAAGGTTAACTATTTAAAGTATTTCAACGGCGTTACTTAAAATATCCTCATAAAATCGTATTGTCCAAAATATTACATTAGAGAGTAAGACATAACAATAAAGCCTTATGGAAATAAAAGACTTTGAATATGTAGGTATATTTACTGTTTATTAAAAAACATAAATAATCAAGGACACCCTCTGCAAACAATTAATTAATTAATAGAAAACTAATTAACAATAGCACATTTAAAAATTAATTTCTTTAGTAATAAAGTCAAGTAATATGCCTATAAATATAGTATATGTTATCAATCAATAAGAAGATCAATCAATCAGTAAGAAGGTTTGAAGCAATGGACACTCCATAATCTGAAAAGAAAGAAAAATAAATAATTATTCGAAAATACAACGATTTTTGGGTTTAATATTTGCAAGAGTGAGCGAAGTAAGTTAGGAATCAGATTTCATTGATTATATTAATGACATTTTGAAAACCCCAAGTATAAAGCTACTGCGCAGAAAAAACAAGTAAAAAAGCGAATTTGGAACGAATTTGGCAATTCTCAAAAACAATAAAATCCCCTAAAAATTCAGTTAAAATTTTAAAAATACCGAATATAGCTGTTATGTCTATACGACGGCATGGACCTGCATAGGTAAATTTTGTCATAAGCCATTACAATATTCAAATGCGAAACTTTCTCTTTTTGTGCAAAAAATATACTTTTAAAAATTTCGACCATATGTGGGGGAGGTACTTGATGGAGTTGACCGATATTGTCCATTTTCACACCTGACCTCGCACTGACGCAAATTTTAGGATATGCAAAGTTAGAGCAAAATCGGATTATCCTTTCTCTTTCTGTGCAAAAAATATATTTTTTGATAATTTCGGCCTTTTGTGGGCGAGGTATCAGAAGGAGTGAACCGATATTGCCCATATCCGAACTCGATCTAAGTCGGACAAAAATATTACGATGTACTAAGTTTGCACCAAACCGTATACTCCCTTCGAGAGGTATCGTGCGCACCAGCCAGACATACGGACGGTTGGATATCGCTAGATCGACTCCAAATGTTCTGAAACGTATTTGGTCCAAAGAGACCTAGGGTCTAAAACCGTTATTTCGACTAGGCTCGTTTTGACCGTATCAAATGATATATACCCTCTGTAACCATATGGCTGAGGGTATAAATATCATTTTGTCATACCCTCCACCATACATAGTATGGAGGTTATAACAAGTTCTTCATTCCGTTTGCAACTCATCGAAATAATATTTTAGACCTAACAAAGTATATATACTCTTGATCAGGGTAAAATTCCAAGTCGATTTACACCCTGTCCGTTCGTCTGTTGTAATCACTATAGAGTCAAAACAAATTAAGATAGCAAGCTAACATTTGGTACAGATCAGTCTTTTGTGTGCAGACAGGTCAAGTTCGAAGATGGGTTATATAACGGTACTTCCCGATATTCGGTATTTAGATGATTTTAGCCACATTTTTCAATGGAATGCTTGAAATTCTACACAAGGAGTTCTTTGCCTGTACTTTACCCCCTGAAAGAGAATTGTCTATATAGGTCCACGATATCGTATATCCCCCATATATACCTCCGATATTCGGTATTTTGCTTATTGTAGCCAATTTTTTTCAATGAAATTATCTCAAAATCCACACAAGGAGTTCCCTCTGAGTGTTTTACCCCTGGAAGCTAACATTTTGCACAGATCAGTTCTTTGCGTGGAGGCAGGTCATGATCGAAAATGGGCTATATCGGTGCACGATATCATAAAGCCCCTATAAAACGGTAACCCTGTTTATTCAGTATTTTGAGGATTTAAGCTAATGTTCTCAATGGAATTGTCTGAAAATAAACACCAAGAGTTCCTTTTGAGTATTTCACCCCTTGAAAAATAATTATCCATATAGGTCCACTATATTGTATATCACCATATAATGGTATCTCCCGGTTTTCGGTATCTTCATTATTTTATCCACATTTTTCAATAGAATTGTCTGAAAATCCTCACAAGAAGTTCCTTCCGAGTACTTTACCCCCTGGAAGGGAATTGTCTATATAGCTTCACGATATCGCATATCACCCATATAAGGGTACCTCCCGATATTCGATATTTTGATGATATTAGAAACATTATTCAAAGGAATCGTTTCACATTTCGTATTCGAGGTTCGGAATTGGTCTACAGTCTATGAAAAAAAATTACTTATGCAGATCCACTTCTTCGTATAGCCCCCATATAACGGTTTTCCTTTGAGCGGTATTTTTCGACGGATTTTTAGGAAAATTGTTAAGTTCCTTCAAAATAGTTCCAGTTCCAGACATCAGACACAACTCGAAAATACCTCTGCCAAATGTTATCGAGATCGCTTTTGATTTGTATATACCTTCGATATACATCTGCATCGGATTTTACGGTTATTGTCCACCATATATGTAATATCAGCCCAAATCGGATGGAGTTTTTCATATTCAGCCGATTTTTCCCATTTGGTGAAATTCGGTCCCGTATATCTGTTGCTGCTATATTGTTATATTATAATTTTTATCGAAGTCATATCATGCACTATGCGGCAATTTTATTTGGTACGAAAGGTACAAAAGCCTCCGTCAAATTTATTGAAAATCGATTTAGAGTTGGATATAGATCCCAAATTGTGACTACTCTAAAGCCATGATACGCATTCAAATAAGGTTCATACTGCACATAAATTCCCAACATGAACTTTTGTTACGGGAGCTCTACTAAATACGCATATTGGTGTAGGGTGTCATATAGTTGACCCACCCTACTATTGGCATTTCCTTAATGGTTTACATATTGTTAACTTTAAGCAGTAACATTTTTCCTCCATTTTCGTCTGGAATTTAGCAACCACCAAGCCCTTGGTCAAGTTGCACTTACCAATTCAAACAGTATTTATACCGACACTCCTTTATGTTGCACTAATTAATCATAAAATTAACATTTATTGACGGCGAGGTGTAAACCTAAACTAACTTCATTGAAGTCATATCGCACCGCTGAGTATAAACGTCAAACAATTGTCAATGTTACTTTATTTTACGATCCTCCAAAACTATAAAATGTAATTTGAAAAGGAAAAAAAAAAACAAACGCTAACATATCTCCCTGATGCAGTTACCTCAAATGACCATAAAGGTGTACTTTGTAACCACGAAACCATTAAAACATGACTGCACTTCCATAAATAATAAAGCCAACAGAATGTTAGCGTCCAGTTATTATCTGCTAACGCACACAAACAAACAAAGAAACAACAAAAACGAGAAACACAACGTCCTCTCTTTTTTATGTTCACCACTAAAGCTCATTTCCCAGATGCCTGGGAATAGAGATTCCAAAAAAAAAAAAGGATAAAATGCCACAAGAAAAAAAAAACAAAAAAAAAACAGAGTCGGAAAACGGAAGTGTAGCTACACCAAATGCGACACATGCCTCAAGGGGTTTGCATAATGTTTTCAATTTGAATAATGTATTCCAACCGAGAGGAAGATGAGGATGGAGCTTTTGATGAAAGGTTCCATGTTGTTATAATATTGAGCTAAAGGCTTAATGGCCGCAGTCTGGTCAAGAAAAGAGTTGGTGTTTCGAAATAGGGATTAGCTTAAAAGTTATTCCTAAGAATAACATATTTTGCAGAGAGATGGAAACTGAAAAAGATGGAAAACAAAAGGATATTTCATAGATGTTTATTATTTGCATAAATTTAGAAGTATGTATCTATAAGTAGATGTATCTGCACATGAAAAAATAAAAAAACAAATTTTAATAATCTGAATGGGAAAATGTGTGTACTTCCTTGGAAATGGCCAGGGATGTATAGAAGAGCTGAGGAGTATTTTGTAGGCCAGCAGGAGGGGATTTTTACGAGCAAAACTCAGTCCTTAAGAGATGACTCCAAGGAAGTCTTTATAGAATAGCAGAGAGATAGGTGAGCAGAAAGGGAGACCTTATAGACGAGCCGAAGACAGTCTTAATAGGCCGCTTTCAACCTGGTCATAAAAGAAAGCCTTCAGTAACCTGGTCTATAGAAAGGGACCCCGGCTTCAGCTGGCCTATAGAAAGAGACCCCGGCTTCAGCTGGCCTATAGAAAGAGACCCGGGCTTCAGCTGGCCTATACAAAGAGACCCGGGCTTCAGCTGGCCTATAGAAAGAGACCCGGGCTTCAGCTGGCCTATAGAAAGAGACCCGGGCTTCAGCTGGCCTATAGAAAGAGACCCGGGCTTCAGCTGGCCTATAGAAAGAGACCCGGGCTTCAGCTGGCCTATAGAAAGAGACCCGGGCATCAGCTGACCTATAGAAAGAGACCCCGGCTTCATCTGGCCTATAAAGAAACCACGGCTTCAGCTGGCCTATAAAGAAACCACGACTTCAGCTGGCCTGTGGAGAGACCACGGCTTCAGCTGGCCTGTGGAGAAACCACGGCTTCAGCTGGCCTGTGGAGAGACCACGGCTTCAGCTGTCCTATAGAGAGACCCCGGCTTCAGTTGACTTATAGAGAGACCCCGGTTTCAACTGACCTATAGAAAGACCACCTTCAGAGCAAAACTCAGTCCTTAAGAGATGACTCCAAGGAAGTCTTTATAGAATAGCAGAGAGATAGGTGAGCAGAAAGGGAGACCTTATAGACGAGCCGAAGACAGTCTTAATAGGCCGCTTTCAACCTGGTCATAAAAGAAAGCCTTCAGTAACCTGGTCTATAGAAAGGGACCCCGGCTTCAGCTGGCCTATAGAAAGAGACCCCGGCTTCAGCTGTCCTATAGAAAGATACCCCGGCTTCAGCTGGCCTATAGAGAGACCCCGGCTTCAGCTGGCCTATAGAGAGACCCCGGCTTCAGCTGGCCTATACAGAGACCCCGGCTTCAGCTGGCCTATAGAGAGACCCCGGCTTCAGCTGGCCTATAGAGAGACCCCGGCTTCAGCTGGCCTATAGAGAGACCCCGACTTCAGCTGGCCTATAGAGAGACCCCGACTTCAGCTGGCCTTAGAGACCCCGACTTCAGCTGGCCTATAGAGAGACCCCGGCTTCAGCTGGCCTATAGAGAGACCACCTTCAACCTGGCCTATAGAGAGACCACCTTCAACCTGGCCTATAGAGAGACCACCTTCAACCTGGCCTATAGAGAGACCACCTTCAACCCGGCCTATAGAGAGACCACCTTCAACCTGACCTATAGAGAGACCACCTTCAACCTGGGCTATATAGAGACCACCTTCAACCTGGACTATAGAGAGACCACCTTCAACCTGGCCTATAGAGAGACCACCTTCAACCTGGCCTATAGAGAGGCCACCTTCAGCTGGCCAATTGAGAGGCCACCTTCAGCTAAGCAATAGAGAGGCCACCTTCAGCTGGCCAATAGAGAGGCCTCCTTCAGCTGGCCTATAGTGAGACCTTCAACAGCCTATGAGAGGCCACCTTCAGCTGGCCTATAGAGGGACCGCCTTAAGCGTGGTCTATAGATACCGCCTTCAGATATAAAGATTGTCTGCAATTTTTCGGTAATGATCTCAAGTCTAATGAAACCCTATATCTGGATAATATTGCCAGAGCTCGTTTATAAGACTCTTTTCTCCCGTCTTTAAAGTCTGCATTCAGCTCTTTTTCCTTGGTGTATAGCGGAGACCGAAAAAAATAAATTTAATTTTTTTTTTTTTGGACTGTTGCAAAAAAAATCGGAAAACCTTTAAAAACTCAAGATATTAAACTTGCAATACCTCTCAACTGCCTTGTTTTCGTAAATGTTTTCCTTTTCTTGGTCGTACATAGATTTAAATTTATTTTTCTTTGTTTATTTGACGTTGCACTTTTACAAGTCGTTTGGAAAGCTGTTAAAACCCCAAAAATACTGCGTTCATATTCCAAACTATGCTCACTATCCTTAGAGAAAATAAAGCGGAATGATGTACACTTTCGTTAGCACATTGCACCAAAAAATGTTACATGCAGCAGCACATACACACTTTCCCAGAAGTTGCAACATCGACCATGGAATTCTGAAAAGTGGCTGAGCACAATTTAGCCCATTCCCTTAAACCATGGAAAATCGGTTGGGCAAAAAAATACCTTAACGAAGCACAATGGGTTGGTTGTGTACAAAAAAACCTGCTATGACTAACAATAATCCAGAAGGTCTTCAATTATATAACAACTTCTGGAGATCAAATATGGATAAAACACATACTGAAAGTTTTCTTTGGATAGGGTTCTCTATGAAAGAAAGACTTTCTGAAGTTCTTTTATTGATTAAACAGCTTCAGAGAATCTTCTACGGATAACAGAACTTCTGAAAGTTTTCTATTGATAAAAGTCTTTTTGAAGGTATTCTATGGATAAAATACCTTCTGAAGGCTTCTATGGATAAGAGTCCTTCTAAAGTTGTTCTATAGATAAGAGACCTTCTGAAGGCTTCTATGGATAAGAGACCTACTGAAGGTCTTCAATGGATAAAAGACCTTCTTAAGGTCTTCTATGGATAAAATACCTTCTATAGGTATTCTGTGAATAAAAGACCTTCTACAGATCTTCAATGGTTTTAAGACATTCTGAAGGTCTCCTGTAAATAAACTTCTGCGTATAAAATTCCTTCTAAATGCCTTCTATGGGTAAAATACCTTCTCAAGGTCTTCTATGGGTCTTCTGTGGATAAAAGACCTATCGAAGGTCTTTTATAGAGAAAAGTCCCTTCTGAAGGTCTTTAATGTATAAAATACTTGTTTAAGGTCCCCTAGGGATAAAAGTTTTCACAAGGTCCTTCTATGGATAAAATACCTTCAGCATGTCATCTCTGGATAAAATGCCTTCTGAATGCCTTTCGTGGATAAGAGACTTTCTGAATGTCTTCTGTGGATTAAAGACCTTCTGAAGGTCTTCTATGGATTAAAGACCTTCTGAAGATATCTAATGTAATAAAGGATATTCTTAAGGTATTCTATGGGTTAAAGGCCATCTGAAGGTCTTCTATGGATAAATATTTTCTGAAGGTCTTCTATAAATAAAAGACCTTCTGTAGATCATCTATGGATAAAAGACCTTCTGAAGGCCTTCTTTGGATAAAAGACCTTCTGAAGGCCTTCTATGGTTAAAAGATCTTCTGGAGGCCTTGTATGGATAAAATACCTCCTGAAGGCTTTCTATGACAAAAGCCCTTCTGAAGGTTTTCTATGGGTATAAGATCTTCTGAAGGTCTTCTATGGATAAAAGACCTTCTAAAGGTCTTCTATGGAAAAAAGACCTTCTTTAAGGTGTCTATGAATAAAAGATTTTTCTGAAGGTCCTTTCGGTTTAAAAGAACTTCTGAAGATCTTCTGTGGATAAAATACCTTCTAAAGGTCTTCTATGGATAAAAGACCATGAAGACCTGTATAATATACCTTCTGAATGTCTTCTGTGGATTAACGACCTTCTGAAGGTCTTCTATGAATAAAGAGCCTTCAGAGGGTCTTCCTTGGATAAAAGACCTTCCAAAGGTCACCTATGTACAAAAAACCTTCTGAAGATATCCAATGTATTAAAGGATATTCTTAAGGTCTTCTATGAGCAAAAGGCCATCTAAAGGTCAATGGATAAAAGACCTTCTTAAGGTCTTCTATGGATAAAATACCTTCTATAGGTATTCTGTGAATAAAAGACCTTCTACAGATCTTCAATGGTTTTAAGACATTCTGAAGGTCTCCTGTAAATAAACTTCTGCGTATAAAATTCCTTCTAAATGCCTTCTATGGGTAAAATACCTTCTCAAGGTCTTCTATGGGTCTTCTGTGGATAAAAGACCTATCGAAGGTCTTTTATAGAGAAAAGTCCCTTCTGAAGGTCTTTAATGTATAAAATACTTGTTTAAGGTCCCCTAGGGATAAAAGTTTTCACAAGGTCCTTCTATGGATAAAATACCTTCAGCATGTCATCTCTGGATAAAATGCCTTCTGAATGCCTTTCGTGGATAAGAGACTTTCTGAATGTCTTCTGTGGATTAAAGACCTTCTGAAGGTCTTCTATGGATTAAAGACCTTCTGAAGATATCTAATGTAATAAAGGATATTCTTAAGGTATTCTATGGGTTAAAGGCCATCTGAAGGTCTTCTATGGATAAATATTTTCTGAAGGTCTTCTATAAATAAAAGACCTTCTGTAGATCATCTATGGATAAAAGACCTTCTGAAGGCCTTCTTTGGATAAAAGACCTTCTGAAGGCCTTCTATAGTTAAAAGATCTTCTGGAGGCCTTGTATGGATAAAATACCTCCTGAAGGCTTTCTATGACAAAAGCCCTTCTGAAGGTTTTCTATGGGTATAAGATCTTCTGAAGGTCTTCTATGGATAAAAGACCTTCTAAAGGTCTTCTATGGAAAAAAGACCTTCTTTAAGGTGTCTATGAATAAAAGATTTTTCTGAAGGTCCTTTCGGTTTAAAAGAACTTCTGAAGATCTTCTGTGGATAAAATACCTTCTAAAGGTCTTCTATGGATAAAAGACCATGAAGACCTGTATAATATACCTTCTGAATGTCTTCTGTGGATTAACGACCTTCTGAAGGTCTTCTATGAATAAAGAGCCTTCAGAGGGTCTTCCTTGGATAAAAGACCTTCCAAAGGTCACCTATGTACAAAAAACCTTCTGAAGATATCCAATGTATTAAAGGATATTCTTAAGGTCTTCTATGAGCAAAAGGCCATCTAAAGGTCTAATATGGATAAAACGCCTTCTGAAGATCCTCTGTGGATAAAATATCTTCTGAAGGTCTCTTTGTACAAAACACCTTCTGAAGATCATCTACTGATAAAATGCTTTCTGAAGGTCTTCTGTACATAAGAGACCTCCTAAAGGTCTTCTATGGATAAAAGATATTCTAAAGGTCTTCCATGGCTAAAAGGTCTTCTGGAAGGTCTTCTATGAATAAAAGACTTTCTGAAGGTTCTTTGGGAATTAAAGACCTTCTGAAGATCTTTTATGGGTAAAAGACATTCTAAAGGTTCTTGGAAGGTATTCTGTAGATAAAAGACCTTCTTAAGGTATTCTATGGATAAGAAACCTTCTGAAGGCTTTCTATGGATAAAAAACCTTTTGAAGGTCTGTATGTCTTCTATGGATAAAAGATCTTCTGAAGGTCTACTATGAATAAAAGATTTTTCGGAAGGTCCTTTGGGGATAAAATGCCTTCTAAAGATCTTTTATAGATAAAAGGTCTTCTACACGTTCTTGGAAGGTATTCTATAGATGAAAGACCTTCTGAAGGTCGTCTATGGAAAAAAACCTTCTAAAGGAATTTTAAGTATAAAAGATCTCCTGAAGGATTTCTATGGAAAATGCCTTCCAAATAAATAAAAAAAGATTTTCTATAGATGGAATAAGCCTTATTTTTGATAATCCTCCTCCAAAATCTGCAACACCTTTGTGTAACATAAGTTTATCCTTTAAGAGTTCTCAAAGAAAATTTATATTTTATGAGCCATACTTACATTTTCCAAAAAATTGCATTTTTCATCCGTGTGTGCTGGTCGTTGTCGTAGTGAAGGACGACAAGGCTAACGCCAGCCAGCTTATACTAGGAAGTCATGACTCTTACAATGGGATAAACAGAAAAAAGTAGCTGCTAAAACACAATGATGCCAAAGTTCCAAAACGGACCAGTTGGAAATGAATGGGAAACTTAATAATACTAAGTAATTATCAAGCACATAAAACCGTTATGCACTTGCATGATGGTTGCCAAGTAGAGGGGGCAGGGGAGTGGAGAATCATCCAAACAAGGATAGGAGCTGCTGATGTTGTCATCGTTACTGTTACTGCTGACTGACTGGCTCTCGTGCTCGCTTGTTTGTTTGCAGTCTCCTATGGATACTTAACTATGGTCCGGCTACCATCTGTGCCCGGTGCCTTTGCCGTGGCCGAAGATCCTTTGGCCGATGTTCTTATTGCTGCTGCAGGTGATGCCACCGCAGGCGCTGCAACTTTGTTTACTATGGCACTGACTGATGTGGGTGGATGGTAGAGATGAGAGCCGTACTGTATACCACCGGCATGATTAAAATACGGCAGTGCGCTGCCTATGGGTCCAATTTCCGGTGTTGTTTGATACGTCGGACCATGGCCATGGGCAAATGGCTGAAGCAAGACATTTGTAAATGATGTCACTTTACTGGGAATTCCCAATGGAGCAAAGGCAGGTTGCAGCGTATTCGGCAATAGCGGATGATGGTAGTAGGGAGTCATGGCAGCAGCTGGCGGTGGTGGTGGTGGGCCAATGTGCAGGGTCGGACCACCCAATGCTGGTGGTGCCAAATGCGTGAATGGCACCGGAGTGGGTCCTTGTATGGTTGCCTGTGAATATGGTAAGTTATTTAAATTGTCTACAATTGTTGTTTGCTGTTGCGCTACTGTGGGAGAGGGCGGTGGGGGTTGTGGCTGTGATGGTGCTGCTTGCAATTGAAAACGATGGGGCTGGGGACTGAGTGCATGGGTTGGGGGGTTAGAGGTCAAATGCGAAGGATTAATGTGCACATGTTGGAGTTGCAATTGAGGTTGTTGCTGGTATTTAAGATGGTGCTTTTGTTGGTGCTGAGGTTGCTCATATTGCACCAGATATTGCGGATTGTAGTGCACCACTGGCTCATAGGAATGCTCGGGTACGACAGGTGCCGCTGGCGGTGGTGGTGGCGGTGGTGCTAAAGTCTTTTGGGCCAACTCTTGAGGTACGGCCACCACTTGTGCAGATTCTTGTTGACCATGTGGGTGATGCTGGTGTTGGTGGGGTTGTCGATACAGTGCTTGATCCGGTTGTTTACCCACCACATTCAATTGCTGTTGCTGCTCCGGCTGTAAATGTTGCACCTGATATTGCACAGGTGAGGGCGCTTGCTGATGCTGTTCATATTGCTGGGTAGGTTGTTGTTCTTGAATTTGATATGCTTTTATTGCAGGTGAATGGGGGAGAAAAAAGACAAAAATATGGAGAAGTTATCAAAAGGATTTTTAATTGATATTGTGTTGAAGAAATGTGGAAAATAAAATAAAAGATTTTATAGGTTTTGCTAATGTCCATAAACTGAATCTAAATTGTTGTTAAAATATGAGCAGAATAAATATATACCATAAAAATCAAAGAAGCCACTGAAATTAAATCCTAATTTTTGTTTTCGGCTGGAAACCGAAAAAACACACTTTTCAGAAGTTCTCCCATTCAAAAGAGATCTTCTATAAATACAAGATCTTCAGAAGGTATTCTATGGAAAAAATAGATTCTGAGGGTATTCTGAGGATAACAAATCTTCTCAATGTCTTCTATGAATAAAGACCTTCTAAAGTTATTCTATGGATAAAAGGACTTTGGTAGATCTTCTATGGATCGGGGACCTTCTGAAGGTTATCTACGAATAAAACACCTTCTCAAATTCTAATATGGATAAAAGGCCTTTTGAAGGTCTTGTGTGCAAAAGAGGACTTCTGAAAGTCTTCTGAAGATAAAAGACCCCCTAAGGCTCTTCGGTGAATAAAAGACCTTCTTTAAATGTGCTATTGAAAATCGGGATTGGGAAGAGATTCTATGGAAAATCGGTCTTTTGAAGATCTTCTATTGATAATATACCATCGAAAGGTTATCTATGGATGAAAAAGCTTCTAAAGGCCTTCTATGGACATAATACCTTCTAAAGGTGTTCTATGTCTTAAGTCTTCTTAATGCATTCCATGAATAAATGATGTGCAATATGGCTATGACAAAGATCAGTCAAATTCCGTATTACATGGTAAGTAAAAACATAGTATTATTGCAAGGGGTTTCAAAAAATTTTGGAGAATTATAACAGTTATTACAATTTCTGGAGGAGAAGGAAACTGAAATTCGAGACCTGGATTGATATTATGAATATATCGGTATAAAAGTTCTGGTACCTTCCAACAAACGACCAACATTTGGTATAATAAGAACATTGCTATAACATAATGGCATTTCAATATTTCTTCCAATACAATATCCAACATATGGATAACATACCGGTCCAAACTTTCCAGAACATTCCATACAGGCGATAAATATTTTGAAAAATAAAAATTCATAAAGAAATTGAACGAAGTCTCTGATTCGGTTAAAAAAAAAAACACATGTGTGAACATTGGAAGCAGCTAGTGTGACAGCTGGAGTGGTGCAAGGCGATATATTAATCTGGACAATCGGTCAAAATTAAAAAAAAAAAAAAAAAACAATTACAAAATCAGTAAATCAGTTGAACTTTGGATACCTTCCACCATTTGGAACAAATTTGGAAATTTAAAAAAATTAAATCCGTTCTCTTAAAATCTTAAAAATACCGAATGTAGCTGTAAAACGACGATGTGAAGCTGCATAGGCAACTTTTGTCATAAGCCATTACGATATTCAAATGCGAAACTTGAAAAAAAATCGGGGAATAATATAGCTAAAATGACCAAAATACCGAATATAGACGTAGGTCCTGAATAGAAATATTTTATTCATAGGCTTTTGTATCCATTACGAACTTTAAATACCAAAATTTGTAACAATTCCGAAAAATAATGTCGCTAAAATCGTCAAAATACCGAATATCGGGAGATGCCCTTATATGGGGGCTACACGAAGACGTAAACCTGCACGAACAATTTCCTATCATAGCCTGTTGTCTATTACGAACTTCAAATACTAAATTTTAAGCAATTCGGGTAATTAATGTCGCTAAAATCAGCAAAATACCGAATATCGGGAGGTACCGTTATATGGGGGCAACACGAAGATGTGGACCTGCACAGACAATTTTCTGTCGTAGGCTGAAGTATCCATAATGAACTTTAAATAAAAAATTTGATCTAATTCCGGTGAATGATGTCGTTAAATCATAAAAATACCGAATATCGGGAGGTACCATTATATGGGGGCTAAACGAAGACGTGGACCTGCACAGTAATTTTTCTATCTTAGGCTGTAATATCCCTTTGGAACTTCAAATATAAAATTTGAAACAATTCCGGTGAGTAATTTCGCTAAAATCATCAAAAAATACCGAATATCGGGAGGTGCCGTTATATGTGGGCTAGATATACACGGACAATTTTCTGTAATAGGCTGTAGTATCCGTTACGAACTTCAAATACCAAAGTTGAAAGAATTCCGGTGAATTATGTCGCTAAAATCATCAAAATACCGAATATCGGGAGGTATCGTTATATGGGGGCTATACGAAGAGGTAGGCCTGCAAAGACAAATTTCTGTCATAGGCTGTAGTATGCATTACGAACTTCAAATACCAAATTTGAAACGATTCCGGTGAATAATGTCGCTAAAATCACCAAAATACCGAACATATGGAGGTACTGATATATGGGGCCTATACGAAGACCTGGACCTGCAAAGACAATTTTCTGTCATAGGCTGTAGTATTCATTACGAACTTCAAATACTAAATTTGAAACAATTCCGGTGAATAGTGACCCTAAAATCAGCAAAATACCGAATATCGGGAGGTACCGATATATGGGGGCTATACGAACACGTGGACCTGCACGGACAATTTTCTGTCTTAGGCTGTAGTATCCATTACGAATTTCAAGCACGGGAGGTATCGTCATATGGGGGCTATCGGGAGGTATCGTTATACGGGGGCTATACGAAGAGGTAGGCCTGCACAGACAAATTTCTGTCATTGGCTGTAGTATGCATTACGAACTTCAAATACCAAATTTGAAACGATTCCGGTGAATAATGTCGCTAAAATCACCAAAATACCGAACATATGGAGGTACTGATATATGGGGCCTATACGAAGACCTGGACCTGCAAAGACAATTTTCTGTCATAGGCTGTAGTATTCATTACGAACTTCAAATACTAAATTTGAAACAATTCCGGTGAATAGTGACGCTAAAATCAGCAAAATACCGAATATCGGGAGGTACCGATATATGGGGGCTATACGAACACGTGGACCTGCACGGACAATTTTCTGTCTTAGGCTGTAGTATCCATTACGAATTTCAAGCACCAAATTTAAAACAATTCCGGTGAATAATTTCGCTAAAATCATCTAAATACCGATTATCGGAAGGTACCGTTATATGGGGGCTATATGAAAACGTATACCTCCATGGCCCATTTATGAACTCAACCTGCCTACTGGCAAAATAAACATGCGTGCAAAATTTTAGCCGTCTATCTCAATTCGTCTACGGACACACAGGCGGACATCGTTAAATCGACTTAGAATTCTACGCTGATCAAGAATATATATACTATATTGGGTCTGACATGAGTATTTCGAGGAGTTATAAACGGAATGACAAAATTAATATACACTCCATACTATGGTGGAGGGTATAAAAAAGTTGGTTTTTAGACATAAAAACCTGCGATTAATTTCCTTTGCACAGCTGGAATTGCCTGAAAGCTAAACCTTGTTATCGCTTGGCAAGTCAATGTTTCGATCTAAAACCCATTTATGACATGGTCACGAATCCTAATCAGCCTGCAGGATACAATTATGTTCACCCCATTCTTATGCTTCTCTTTTCCAATCATTCCAGTCCACATTCTTCAATTAAATCCATGCTTCGCAGATGGAAATTATACACGGAATGCACAAAGGACACAAGAAAACGAACGTGGGAGGATAGTTGGATGGATGGATGAATGGATGGGTGGCGAAAAGAAAACACAACACCTGATTGAAATGTACGACAGCAGAAACCAATCACTTGTGACCCAAGTAGTCAACCAGGAGAAGTGGATAAATGAACGAGATCTGTGGTTAAGAATTCAATTGAATCCTTTTCAATTCAATCGCAGAATGGAGCAGAACTTGGCAGAACAAAAGAGTATCAGGGAATTGCAAACAAAGGAATTGAATAGCTTGCAGGTAATTACCATAAAGTGGTGGTGATGCTGGAGCGAGTGGTGGTGACGATGCAGCATGGGATGGTGCAGGAGGGGCTGGCTTCAATTGTTGTGGGGGTTGATGCTGATGTTGTTGCTGGGGATAGTAGTAGTATTGGGGCTGCTGTTGCAGTATGGGTTCCTGTTGTTGCTGTTGCGCTGGTTGATGTTGATAGACAACTTGTTGTGGTGTTGACGCTGGAGCTGGCGATGCTGGAGAATGGCTTGATGCTGGACGTTGATAAACTTGAGCTGCCTGTGCTGCGGCCAGCAGAGCACTGGCAGGCACCTGTATATATTGTGTTATATAGCCGGGAGGAGCAGGAGCTGATGCCGAGTGGTGTGTCGCCTGATGCTGTCCGCCAGCGTTTATTTGCTGAACATTATTGATGGCTGTCGGTGAAAAGCGATGAACAGGACGATAAGTACCCTGGTGATCACGGGCTAAAGGACCCGCTGCTATGCTATAGCCTGGTTGTATGGCAAAAGCATGCAACTGTGGAATCGACTGTTGTTGATGGCCATTGTTTTGTTGTGGCAAATGAGATTGCTGGTGATGCTGTTGTTGCTGCTGCTGTTGTTGTTGCTGCAATTGACGCAAATATGACATCGGTATGGCTATAATGTATTGTACCTGCTGAGGACGCTGATGACCTGGCCCACGCTCAATCAGATGCTGCTGCAGTTGTTGTTGCAAATATTGCAAAGGTAAACGTTCATAATTAAATGCAGCAACCGGTGGCCCATTATGCTGATGCGGATGAGGAGCGGAATGAGGCGGTGGAGCTGCCACATACTGAATATCCTTTTGTTGCTGGCCATTATTTTTACCAACTACCCGGACAATCTGTTTATGCTGTGTCACTAATGATGGCTGCTGCTCCTGTGGCTGTTGATAGGCCACTGCCACTTGACTGTAGGGTCTCTGATAAGCTGCACCCGGAGCAGCTGTGGCTTGACGATTTATTGTCGCATCCTTTGTGGCCGTTGTTGCTATGGCATCGTGGGCCGAGAACTGTTGATGTTGCTGCTGTTGCTGTTTCTGATGTTGCCGCTTTTGTTGGACATTGTTGCCACCTCCGTCATTAGCCGGAGTCGTTTTCGTCGTCAGCTGGTTTTTATCGTAGAACGTTGCCTGCAAATGAATGAAAGTAATTATTGTAGATTTAATGGGTAATGTTTTTTTTTTCACATCTTCTCATTCTTCTTCTTCTCCTTCTTTTCATAATTTCTCATTTTCTGTGCAATTGTTGTTGTTATTGTTGTATGATATTATAATTCCCATTCTTATCTTCCACTTGGCAAGCAATTATAATGTTAAAGTTTTTGTTGCTGGCCTCTTCTTAATGCCGCAACATTGATTTAAATATCCACTTTTTTAATTCTTCAAAATTGTTATTAAAATCTGTTGCTCTTGTCGAGCATTTATGGCGAGAAGGTAGCAGTTAAGCATTTTCATGCTGGTGTCAAGAACAATTGAAACAATTTCAAAAATATCAGTCGGTTTTGCCGACAGATGTATACACTCAGCCATTGTTCGTTTGTTAAAATATATTTTGACTTCTGTTATGATTTTTCAAATTGCTGACTCTCTTCCGAAAGAATGTGGCAATATTGTCCATTTCGTATCGGATCTAACTAAATATGATATAGATATTGGTTTCTTCCTACTTTATACCAGTTAGTGATAATTTTTAGAAAATGTTAAAATGTCGACCGACGTAATATAAAATTTGTCATTTCGTTTATAACACCTCGAAATATACATTCTATACCCTACAAGGTATATATATATATATATATATTCTTTATCAGCATAAAATTCTATGTCGATTTACCGATGTCCGTCCGTCTGTGGAAATGCTGTAGGTGGGAAGTCGGTTGATAAAATTTTACTTAGATGTGTGTTTTGGAATTGAAAATGAGCTCCATAGGTCCACGTTTAGGTATATCCCACACAGAGGGTGAGATAAACAAAACTGCAACAAAGTCAAACGCCATAATTTCTACATTTTTTTTTAAATTTTATTGCAAGAAAGCAAAAAATGTCGGAAATAGCATCAAATTTTAGAATAAGTTTAGATTTGGTCGAATTGGTCACCTTTGGCATGAAATATGACCTTCAAACGGCCCATGAATCCGTTACACGCTGCCCGAATGTTGCTCTGCGGTATTTTGGCCCATACCCGGCGAAGCGCTTGTCTCAGGTGAGCGACACTTTGGTATTTTTTTGTGCCAATCGTGCTTTCCAAAATACTCCAGACACAATAGTCCAACGGATTGGTAACCGGAGATTTTGGTGGCCATTGTGCGCGAGAAATGAAGCATGGAACCTCATTTTTTAACCATTCTTGGGTGGCGCGAGCTGAGTGCAATGGTGCTGAGTCCTGTTTGTAATGTCCAAGATCTGCGGCCAAAATGTTTGTGTGCCTAAGGCTTTAGTACACACTCCAGAATATTTTCGCGATAATATTCGGTATTTATTCTGATGCCACGGTCGATTAATACGAGCGGAGAGAGACCATCGGTTGTTATGGCGGCCCACACCATCACCATAACCGGCGCTTGAGTTCTGGTGACCAACCGAAGGTACACATTTTCAACTGACCTCTTTGGCAAGAAAACACTATCATTTTGTTTGTTTACAAACTGCTGGACAACGAAAACCAAATTCGAAAGTTCACCACTTTCGGCCAAGCGAAGCAACCATTTAGCTTTTTTGAGATTATTTTCTTTCTGTTGCGGTGTAAGTTCTTGCACTTTTTGAAATTTCAATGGCTTTACCCCACCCGAGCTCATTTTTCAATATTTGCCGAATGAAATATTGCGATATGTTCAGCTCACGAACCATTTTTCGGCCACTGCGACGCGGTTTTCATCAAGTCGCTTCTTTACTTTTCGAACCGTTTCTGCTGATGTTGTTGTTTTCTTCCGTCCACTTCCTTGACGTCGGGCTATGCTACCAGTATCACGGTAACGAGCGATGGTACGAGACACAAAACATTATTCTCATTTAAATGCTGGAGTGCTCTAACGATAGCCACTTGTAGTTTTCCAGCCAAATTTAAAGAAATCCCATTATCACGCTTGAATTCCATCACGAATAACTTTTTTTCTCGAAAAATTTCACCAAAATGCTTTTGTGCGCTTGTAAACAATATAATGACCTGTCACTGGAATACTTTTAACAGCTGTCGGACGAGTGGCTTATAAATAACAGCAGTCTGAAGTTGGTTGCAATTTTTTCATCAGATCTTGTGTTAGTAAAAATCATGTGAAATGTGGAATATGTAGAGAACTGGATGCTTATTTCGGATTTTATAATCGTTTTGGTTATTCGATATTGTGACCCTTTTGTGGGAGAGAAACCAGAAGGACAGGTCTGATCTCTACCATCTTTGTAACAGGCCTTTTTTTTTGATAGAAATGTTAAGATGTGCCAAGTCTGAATGGAATCGGATTATAATTTCGGGTTTATGAGCTTCATTAATATTCATAAATCTACCCTTTAAGAGGAAGATATTAAAAACAGTGGACCTATATATTCCATTTTCCCCCTTTAGGTGGGAGGCACTTGATTCAGTGGAGCAATATTGTCCATTTTCACACCTGACCTAGCGATGATGCAAAAATTAGAATTTGCAAAGTTAATGCAAAGTCGGATTATCCTTTTTTTTTTTTTTTTTTTTTTTTTTTTTTTTTTGAAAATTTCGACCTTTTGTGGGGGAGGTGCCGGAAGGAGTGGACCGATATTACCCATCTCCGAACCCGATATAAGTTTGCTAATAATATCACGGTGCACCAAATTTGGGTCAAATCGGATACTCCTTCGAAAGTTTTCGTGCGCACCAGCCAGCCAGACGGACGGACGGACGGACATCGCTATATCGACTCCAAATGTCCTAAAACGGATTTTGTCCAAAGATACCTAGGTTCTAAAACCGTTATTTCGATGAGACACGTTTTGTCCGTATCTGTAGCCATATGGCTGAGGGCATGGTACAATGTTATCAAGGTAGGGCATCGACAAAATCTAGAGTTTTTGTAGCGAAATAATCCTTTAGAGATATATTACATGATTTTGAAAAGAAGTGTTGACCTTTCATTCAGTTATCGCGTTTTTCAATTATTTTTTCAAAATAAATGCAACAAGTTGTTTAATTTTTTATTGTTTTGATACTAATTCTGACATTACAAGCTAAACAGGTAGACCTCTATACTTGCAATTTTTTCAAAGTTGACCTACCTTCTCTTCATTGTACCATGGCTGAGGGTATAATTTTTTTTTAATTATATTGAAATCAGTTAAGATTTAGATATAGCTCCCATATATATTTTCGGCCAATTTCACATATTTGACGCACCAAACACGATATGCACCTGTATACATAGATAGCCCCATGGTACAATGAAGAGAAGGTAGGTCAACTTTGAAAAAATTGCAAGTATAGAGGTCTACCTGTTTGGCTTGTAATGTCAGAATTACTATCAAAGCATTAAAAAAATTAAACAACTTGTTGCATTTACTTTGAATAAATAATTGAAAACCGAGAAAACTGAATGAAAAATCAACACTTCTTTTCAAAACCAGGTTCTATATATCACTAAAGGATTATTTCGCTACAAAAACTCTAGATTTTGTCGATGCATACGATGAAATAAACATTTTGAAAACATCCCAATTTGAATGTTTTCTGAACATTTTTTTTTTGTTATTGAAAAGAAAACACATACATAAACAAATAAAGATGACATATTAAGCCAAGAAAATAAAAAAATTGAAATCATGTGGTATCATAGCCCTACCTTGATATCATTGTACCATAGATAGCCCCCTCATGTCAGAAATTTTAAAAGCTTAAGATATATACCTAATTCCGATATAATTTATTTCCTTAAAAACCGGGATTATGGATCTGACAATCCGTTCGTCAAAGATTCATGTATACAGCACTCAAACGTCCTTCAAAGGTACACGAATATAACCATCTTAGTAATTTTAAGACACACTCTTATAATACTGATTTCGATTGAAAGATCCATGATAATAGTCCTAATAGTGCTAAAAAATCCAAGAATATAATCCTAATAGTCCTTTAAAAATCCAGTGATAATGACTTTGAAAGTTCCTAGGAGATCAACTAATAATAGTTGTAAATATCATTTCTCTGCTAGTCCTTAAAAGTCCTACAATAGTAGACCTAATAGTCCTTTAAAATGCACTATTATAGCTCTGAGATTCTATAAATAGTACGTATCTATCCCTGGTAGTGCTCTAAAAACAAAAATTGTAATTCTGAGTGTCCCTAAGTGATCCCCTCATACAGCCCCAGTATCCCTTAAAGATCAAGAATTATATCACTGGCTGCCTGGCAGTCCTTTATAAAGTCTACTTATATACTTCGACCAATTAATGTAGATAGCTCTGAGGGCCCTTTATATATCATAATAATAGCTCTAATAGACATTATGATAGGGAAAACTTGTTTTACGTTCATATCTCTGAGAGCCCACGATTATGGCTCTAAATACTTTAAAGATTCAGAAATATAGTTCTCTTCTTTATCCACGAAGCCCATGTTTGTAGCTCTGGCAGTCCATAAAAAAATTCCCATTTGTAGTTCTAAGTCTTTGGAAAACCCACGTTTATATCACCGACAGTACTTAAAATATCCGCATTTACGACTGTCCCTCATGTTCCGCATTGTTTACCATCCTAAACAGGTGAATCTCTCCCGACATAATTGCAATATTACTTTTAGGCCTGCTTTCAAATCATTTTCGACCATAAAAAAATAAACATGTCAATCAAATTTCCTCTATTCGCCAACGAACACAATTTTTCCATTTAAAAACGATCTACTTTTACAGGCAACTTAGATTTGGCCTTTTGGAAGAACAAAGGAAAGAAATTTCAATATTTCTGCCTGTTCCTTTGTGACTACTTAATTTTCATAGACACAACGAGAGAGAGAGAGAGAATAAAATTCCCATCAAGCAATAAAGTGACATATTTTTATAGAGGACCCCATTTTTTGGTATTGCAAATATTTGTGTTTATTTTATGGTCCTTGTAGTACTCGAAAATGTTCCTTTTTTGTTGTATCTTTCTCTCTCTCCACATTTACCCCTAAT